ACTACCTAGTTTGTGTGTTGATGTGTGTCTCTGTCATGAGGGAAGATGTAATGCAGTAACTAGCTAGTTTATGTGTTGATGTGTGTCTCTGTCATGAGGGAAGATGTAATGCAGTAACTACCTAGTTTATGTGTTGATGTGTGTCTCTGTCATGAGGGAAGATGTAATGCAGTAACTACCTAGTTTGTGTGTTGATGTGTGTCTCTGTCATGAGGGAAGATGTAATGCAGTAACTAGCTAGTTTATGTGTTGATGTGTGTCTCTGTCATGAGGGAAGATGTAACGCAGTAACTACCTAGTTTGTGTGTTGATGTGTGTCTCTGTCATGAGGGAAGATGTAACGCAGTAACTAGCTAGTTTATGTGTTGATGTGTGTCTCTGTCATGAGGGAAGATGTAATGCAGTAACTAGCTAGTTTGTGTGTTGATGTGTGTCTCTGTCATGAGGGAAGATGTAATGCAGTAACTAGCTAGTTTGTGTGTTGATGTGTGTCTCTGTCATGAGGGAAGATGTAACGCAGTAACTACCTAGTTTGTGTGTTGATGTGTGTCTCTGTCATGAGGGAAGATGTAACGCAGTAACTAGCTAGTTTGTGTGTTGATGTGTGTCTCTGTCATGAGGGAAGATGTAATGCAGTAACTACCTAGTTTGTGTGTTGATGTGTGTCTCTGTCATCAGGGAAGATGTAACGCAGTAACTAGCTAGTTTATGTGTTGATGTGTGTCTCTGTCATGAGGGAAGATGTAACGCAGTAACTAGCTAGTTTATGTGTTGATGTGTGTCTCTGTCATGAGGGAAGATGTAACGCAGTAACTAGCTAGTTTATGTGTTGATGTGTGTCTCTGTCATGAGGGAAGATGTAATGCAGTAACTACCTAGTTTATGTGTTCACAAACTGCACCCTCCATCACCGTCTTTTCGAAGCCGCCATGACACTTGATGTGGCCAAAATACTTCAACTTTCATGACAGGTTGCTGTTTATTAGCCAGTTCTCCTTGATGTTCCACGTGTTTAGAATGTCCATGTTTTTCCTTTTCTTGATCCATGATATTCTAAGAATTTTTCATAACATTTCAATTCAAAAGCTCCAGGACTCACAACTGCAGGTTTCCACGATCTCAAGATTTTTACTTGAACAAATTTACTAGTGCTTTGCAGCAGATGCTCTGCGTCATACCAAAGGCAATAAATGCTGTGATAGGTCGGCAATATCCTGCTTCCTTCTGGATGTCCAGAGATGTAAAACTGATGACGCAGGGAGAAAAAAAAAACTAGCCACATCAACACCAACACGCCAGTAGCCCATCCCGCTCACCAAAAAAAATGAGAATACTTCACCTGCGCAAGACCTGACAGACAGAAACCAACTAGCAAACATCAACATTAAATGCATCTAATGACCAAAAATATAACCAAAGTTTCCTGAGAAGCAGCCCTTTTCAAGTGGGGGTTGAACACGGCCAGCTCCAGATTTATAAGGCCGTACAGCTCAAACGGTAATTCCAGTTTTTGTGCAAGAATTGAGTCCCTCTGCGTCCACAGTTTTTATGGAGATGTATACGCAAATTAAACTACAGTTTCATTAATTTTCGACATATTTTTTAGAACTATATGTCATTTTTAAGGTAAATAAGTGTGCCAATTAAATATAACAATAAAGGCTCTTACAGACAAACAAAAATGCCTTTGCTACAGACAACATGATCATAAACATCAATAACGTTTAGATGTAAACTAAAAGTTGTTCCAGCAAAAGTAAAGAAATATCAGTGCTAACTCTTTGATTCTGAGAGGGTATTGTTGCATCAGAGGAGCAGGGGGGGGGGTATACAGACCATACAACTGCAAATATGCAAAAGAAGTCAATGAGCAACTAGAAGTTTCCGCAAGAGTTTACAGCCAGTGCTCGCGAAGCATAAGTCAAATGGTTACGGATTAATATTATTAGTGTACTGCTACAACATATAATTATACTGCTTGTCAACAATTAGTAAAGAGGCAAAGAGTGTCTTGCTGTGAGAGGTTAGTTAGTAAATTAAATATTATTTGCATCCACTCACCTAGAGTTCCTAAATATCTTGACACAATTTATCCACAGTGTGGTTGCAACATTTATGCACAGTCAATATGAAAGCAACAGTTTTCATCAAACACAAGATAGTTTGCACCTGACAACTGTCGATATTCTCCAGATATGGCTACTAAATTACCTGTTTGTATTATCCCTAAAAGTACGATTTCCACATTTAAAGTAAAAAAGTAATAAACAGCCAGTTCCGAAAAATCTGAACTACTGACTAGAAACAGTGACACTGACACACACATCACAACACGACTGTCTCCCGTGAATTACAATTAAAATTGCTGTAATCTAACAGCTTGTATGTCCACTTTACAATATCCGCTTGTCGATTTGTAATACGAATACAATCAGAACACATAAGTTTGTAAGCATATTATAATGTCACAAAATGCAACATGGAAACGCTTGCAGTAACCTATTTTCGAGGGGACTTAGCCAAAATGATTCAGTTGTCAGGACTAATTCACAGCCGGACGTGGTTTCCACCAAGCTCCTCTTCGACAGATTCTTTCTCTCTCTTTCTCTCACTTTCTCTCTACCCTCCTTTTCCCACTCGACCTTGTCACGGTCTGTTGGTTGAGACCACGTCCGGCTGTAATACAATATAAATCTGGAGCTGGCCGTAATTTAGACACACGTTTAATCACGAGACTGTAAAGACAATTATAGGAATCCTGTTTGGGAATTCCCGTTGTGACATGTACTTCTGTAGCTGGTTGTAGCAAGTGGATCGTTCAGCTTTCATACAGAACCAGCCTCACCTTTACAAACCATCATTCTTGTTGTCATTTCGTTCCTGGATTCAAGGCCTCACCAGGTTTGTTATAATTTAATTACACGTTCACTCTAATCATCAAGTAAGTTTAACTGAATCCGTCCGGGTTGGTAAGTTGTTTTAGTTTCATCATCACATAGCACTTACTGTACAGAACGTCCCTTCCTGTCAGAAGAAATCAAAACTAATGCTACACTTAACATTTTAAAGTTGAAACGTTAAATCAGTACTGTTGTAGAAACATAGAGAACAAATTTGGCAATTATTAATAAACAACAAACATTCATTAACTGGTATCTATGTAGAATAAGTTTTGAAAAATAAGTAAATATCCCTTTTGACGCCTTCGGCGCATCGGGCATATGGGAAGAGCGATCATATTTTTTACAGACCAATCGGCACTGAGTGGGTAATGTGGTTTGCATTATCCTATGTAGAATAAATGATATTATCACTAAATTTAAAATTTTCAAATTGACATGTCACTTCAGTTCAGTTGTATAGAGTGGGAACATGGAGAACAAATAAAGCAATTACTAATAAACTACAGACATTCGTTAACTGGTGTAATAGAGCTACTAATGTCGAGCTTTGGGGAGAGAACTTGTCAAGTTCCAGTGGGCCAAGAGATGAAGAAATGACACCGTTTGTGTTGATGGGGCAAACGTTGAGAGAACCTGCACACGGAACCCACATGGATCTAGAAACAAAGGCAGTCTAAGAACATGTGGAGACTGGAGCTAAAGAGTGAAGTTATAAAGATTGGGGAGGACATGGGAGACGTGCATGCGATAGCAAAGGATAGAACGACTAAGCGTGAGTTGGTTGAGGGGCTATGCTCCATTGGGGGTTAGAAAGGCAGAAAAAGACGTCTCTCCCATCTTATCCCTACCAGAAAGGAACCGACTACTTATCCATTGTTAGTTATTCAGGTATCCACTATCGTGTATCCACCTTCATGGTCGACCAGCGCTTCTCCTTCCTAAACCAACCTAACATTCCATGCTGCCAAAGTTGTCCAATGTTTGAAGTTTCAGGTCTAGTTGAATGTCAGTATTCGTAATTTTTTTTCAAAATAAATGTTGTTCACAAACCAACATAGTTCTAAATGTATTTAAGCTGTCGACTGGAATTCTTCAACCCAACATTCATGTTACTTTTTTTTACCTCTGAGATTGTATGAGTCTTCCATGTTACTGTCAGTACTGTAACCTCTGTCCTACTGCAGGAAACATCCCATCAACACATCCTCAGACTTGATCTTTTTCTAAGTGAGAAAATAAGCACATTCTACAACAACAACAACAACAACAACAACAACAACAACAACTACTACTACTACTACTACTACTACTACTACTACTACTACTACTACTACTACTACTACTACTACTACTACTACTACTACTACTACTACTACTACTACTACTACTACTACTACTACTGCTGCTGCTGCTGCTACTACTACTACTACTACTACTACTACTGCTACTGCTGCTATTGCTGCTGCTGCTACTACTACGGCTACTACTACTGATACCGCTGCGACTGTTACTGGTTCCACTGCTACTGCTACTACTACTGCTGCTACTACTACTGCTACCTCTGCTGCTGCTACTGGTTCCACTGCTACTGCTACTACTACTGCTGCTACTACTTCTGCTACCTCTGCTGCTGCTACTGGTTCCACTGCTACTGCTACTACTACTACTGCTACTGCTGCTGCTGCTGCTAGCATTCATTACATACTGCTAAGAAATGTGTGTGTGTGTGTGTGTGTGAATGTCCCTGTGTGTGTGTGAATGTCCCTGTGTCTGTGTGTGTGTGTGTGTGTGTGAATGTCCCTGTGTGTGTGTGAATGTCCCTGTGTGTGTGTGTGAATGCCCCTGTGTGTGTGTGAATGCCCCTGTGTATGTGTGAATGCCCCTGTGTGTGTGTGAATGCCCCTGTGTGTGTGTGTGAATGCCCCTGTGTGTGTGTGTGAATGCCCCTGTGTGTGTGTGAATGCCCCTGTGTGTGTGTGTGTGTTAAAAATAAAAACGCAACCATAATCTACTACCACAGTAAAAACACCATTGAAATATTGAAATATTTGATACATGACCTTCCAAGGACTCAAGAGCTACTTAACTGTTGGTGAGATGACGTCTGCCAGTCTAAGAAAAGCGACCTTCATTTCCCAGAAGCTGAAATTCTTGAAAGATCAGGGAGACCTTCTTATCAGCTTTGTTGGGCAGTATGTCAGTGAGGTATGTGTTATCTTCTTTATGATCGAATACTGTGTACCTTTAAATCAGACAGTAACATCGTTTTGATCATCGTCATCAAGTACGTTTGTATCCGGATAGGGCGATCACATGTTTCAGCCATAGTGTATTAATTCATGTGCTGAAACTGTACTCTTGGTGAAGGGTGGAGCTCGGGTATGGTAATGGATAGCAACTTGACTTGAGATTCTGAGTCATATGCTCAAATCCTCCTTGAGATGATAATTATTCTAAAAAATATTTATCTGGGCTGCTAGGTCAAATACGTTTAAAAGTCAGCGTAGGGAATTGTTCAGAGAAGCGAACGCGGCATGTGTAATATTGACTACATCACTCCCTTGTTTTTGCAGACCAAGCCTAACATAATACTGTACATCGAAAACACCTCAAAGCCTATACTGTGCGTCTTCACTGTTTTTGTTTTCTCTACTTGATCAGAGACTGCGGATTTTTATTCTCCTTCTAATAGGGGTCTGTGACTTAGGCGATGCGAGCGCGCATAGTAATGCTGGGAGCCGGGTTCGATCCCAGCTGAGGACAATTTGTCTTGCTTTGGTTTCGACAGTAGAACCAACAGCTGACCTTTCAGAGGCAATGGCAAACTACTGAACGTAAAATGTGCGTAGAAAAATCACAACAGCAAAAGGACGACGGGTTTGTTCTACAGCGTCTGAAAAATATACTCAAAAACCTTTTAATGACTCCCATATTCTTATGCTTCTAGGATTCGCGTTTCTTTTTTTTTTTTTTTTTTCCCTGCTCCATGGAGACCAATTCTTAACGAGGTGGGGGTAATCTCTGAGGGTTATTTCAAAATCTGCATTTCATATACACGTTAACGATCGTGTGCACTGATGCTTCTAGTAGTTGCCAAAGAATCTGTGTGGTCAGTTTACTGAAGAATCTCTCCGTCTGGACATGCCTGTTGAGCAGCTTGTTACACATTCACAGTTCAGTCCATGGCTGGTGAATTAGGTTGCAGCTGTCCTGTATTCATGTCTGGTTGCTCTCTGACTGGGCTCATGGACCTCAGAACCATGCACTTTGGCCCCCAGGATTGCCACAGGATCCGCCATCTCGCATGTGCTCTCTAGCGTGTATACGAGCAAGATTGCAAGCCTAGAAGAACCAGGAGTTGAAAGGATACTGACATTTGCGGATGATATACTCGCATATAGGCAGCGGGAAGAAAGGGAACAAACAGCCTGGGAACTACAAGCGACAGTAGACAAAGTGACTGAGTGGTGAACAGAAATGAGGGCTGTCGTCCACCCGGAAAACGCGTCTGTTTTGTGGTGTTCTCTGGACAACAGAATCGTTAAAGCTAATGTCCCAAGTCTCACGATAGATGGTAGAAACGTCAACAGAGAGAGCAAACTGAAGTATCTGGGAATTACATTTGACAGGAGCCTGTCATTTAAGGACCATGTGGAGAGTGTTGTGACGAGATGTCAAAAAGGACTTAGTGCACTTAAGACTATGGCTGCAATTGACATAGAGCAGAGAATGCTTTTCACACTTTATCAGTACCTGATCCTGTCAGTGGTGGATTATGGCCTGGGACTGCTTAACGTCTCAAAGAGTCAGATGAACAAACAAGAGCGCATACAGAACTCGGCTATGCGGGTCATTCTGGGTTGCACCAGAGACACTCCAGTGGTGTGTGCGATACATTCTTGGTTTGCCGACGGTTGCAGGTAGGCACAAGGTGCTGCAGGCGAAGTCATATCTCAGGGTAGCTGCAGACACAGACCACCCTCTACATGAAGCTCTGGGTGCAGTTAAGGGTCAGCGGCTGATAAGAGGGAGGTCATGGATGGCTCAGGCAGAAGACACAATCAGACAGGTTTGCATCCTTGAGAACATTACGCGAGTAGAGGAGTGGGTCAGAGTGCTACCTGAACAGTCAGGCATGTGTAGAGTCATAATCACGCTGAGCCGGGAACGCAAAGACTGGCCAGCAGGTGCCACAGAGGTGGAAATTCAGCAATTAATTCAAGATAATGTTCGCTCAGAAGATTTGATCATTTACACAGTCGGTTCAGTGTCAAGAGGCAAAAGAAGTGCTTGGGGCTTCTTAGCAAAAGGTAATGGTCGATGTTTGGTGCAGGAAGGCCTCGCATATGATACCACAACATCCAGCTTAAGAATGGAGGTGGAGGCGGTCACTGCAGCTTTCCGCTGGCTAGAGAACACGACACACACACATCGTGATTGTAACTGATTCAGAAAGCATGCTGAGGAAGATCAGAACAGGTATGCTTCGTGCAGAGTGGCATGCTTCGCTGCAGAGGACGAGGGTGGGGAGTATTGTCTGGATTTTTTCACTGGGGCCCACCGGTGTGTTGGAAAATGAACAGGCGGACAGACTGGCTGGCTCTGCACAACTTGGTGAAATACTGATACATGATAAGGTAGACGGGGTTAGTGCCTTGTGGGAGAGCGTGTACAGTTCGGAGGAGCAGATGGATCACCACAGTCTGGTGAGATTGATGCCGCGGGAAGTGACGAGAGGTTCTGAAGAAAGGCAAGACGGACGTTTAATCACAATGCTACTGGCACCATTTGTATCGGAACTCTTCGCTGGCTGCTGAAGATGAGGATGGAGGGCTTTTTGGAATGCCCCGAGTGCTGTGATGTCGGTGCTCGAATCAAAGCAAATCACGGTTCAGTGATTAACTTCTGAGAATGTTTTTGCTTTTACAGATAGTCACGACCGGAGAGTCATGGACAGAAGGGGGAGATAACACGATGGGATACTGGGAGTTATGTCAGCTGATTGACACTGCAGTAGTGTACCTAATGGAAAAGTCTGAAGAACTATCAGGTAAGGCAACAAGAAAGAGCTGTTCTGGCAGTAGCAGACGTTGTCTTAAAAACTGAAATTGGGATAATTAGTTAATCTAGGAATCAGTAAAGCACACACACGCACACATGCGCACACACACACACACACACACACACACACACACAAATATACACACACACACGCATACCCACTATAAATTTACTGTTTCAACAATATACAGAAAACTAACACGCATATTTCTGAGCAAAAAATCACAATGCGCGTGTGCATGCAGTTATGACCTTCTTACAAAAATACTGTCTATTAGTTCCAAAAATAAACGTGATTCCAAACTTGATGTTGACGTGGAGTTAAGATCTGACATGGCTGTACTCGGGATATTTCAATAAGCTCTCCATTCGACATCTACGGGAGCTTGCGAAGAGTTAACATTCTGAAGGTGCCAGCACAGTTTGATTATATGTCCATCTCAAAGTGTTTATTGTATGGTTTATTTTTTTTCAAAGAAAAGGATTAACAGACGTATCCCTGATCCTTGGACCGTGTATCGCGCACCTATCTGTCTCAGACCACGGTGAAGCACTTATAAATTACTTTAGTCTAAATTTTAACACAAGGAAAGCTACCCACAACAGTAATTTATGATATTTGTAACTTAGATATACATGTTCTTGATTTCTCACTACTGCAAAAAAAGTTCTAAATTGTTCAGAGATTCCTCTTGTGGCATGTATGCGAGAAAGACGAGATAATTGTATATATATTTATATGCATTTCACCAAAACGATTCTCAGTTGATATTATTGAAATAAAAAATCTGCTTTCTTTATTCTCTGACAGGTGCGGCAGTGAGTGTTGCATCAAACCAAAATCTTGCGTCACCTCGTGAGCAGTCGGGTCCGACTGTACAGTCAACAGCAGCCACTATTTCAGCAACATCCTGCACACAACCAACAATACCAAGAACAGTGACAACATTCAACAGACAATCTACAGAGTCTGTTCTGCCTGCAGGTAGATAAATCTTAGATGTGTGAATAATTTATACCATAAATTGATCTTTGAAAATCGCAAATATGCACCTGAGTTGAGCTGAAAACGGACATAAACGCATTATGATCACTGGGGAAAGACATCACAGCGCACTGAACATTGGGGATAATTATTAATGAATTTTGTGTTGGCAATAATTTATACTTGTATGTCCATTTAAAAAGTAAGAAGCTTTTTTTCTGTTTAAGTCAATAATAATCACATTCATTCATTCATTCAGTAGCATGTCCCTCGCGGAACCTCGCTGCCATAACAACCCTCCGGAAAACCTTCCTATCATGAGCAAGATGTTCTGCGTATGATTCACCCATCTGGAGATCATCTGCCACATCCTGCACCCATCTTCTCCTTGGCCTTCCTCTTCCTCTCTTCCCAGGCATATACCCCTCCATTATTGTTCTCTCTAGACTTCCATGACGTTTCAAGTGACCAAAATATTTCAATTTTCTTTGTTTTATTGTCTTTACTAGCCAACCCTCTTCAATATTCAGCTCCTGAAGTATGGATGCATTTGTTCTTTTCTTTACCCAAGATATTCTTAGAACCTGTCTGTAACATTTATATTCAAATGCATTTATGCGCTGTTCCGCTTGTTTAGTAAGTGTCCAGGTCTCACAGGCGTATGTTGCAATGGGAAAGATGCATGCTCTTAAAAATCTGACCTTTGTAATTCTATCTGTACAATTCCATAATTTATTCAGTTGTTTTAGTCTTTGAAGAGCAATTGATAGTCGCCGTTTAATTTCTTTCATTGTGTCACCATTGTTGGTAACCAGTGACCCAAGATATTCGAAATTTTCCACCACTTCCAATCTTTCCTCATTAACGTATATTTCCTTCTCCATGGCAGTTTTGTTTGTATGCATTATCTTTGTTTTTGCTATGTTAAGAAATAAGTTATGATTTTCACTATTTCTTTGGAGTGAGGTTAATAAGTTTTCTAAACCATTTTGTGATGTTGATAGTAATACTGTATCATCAGCATAACGAATTTCTGGTATTTCATGACCACCGATGTTTAGAGCATCATATTGTTCCTTGTTTATATCATCTCTTACATTTCTCATTATATTTTCGGCGTACAGGTTGAACAAATACGGTGACAGCACACATCCCTGACGGACTCCTTGCTTGATGCCAAACCAGTCTGATGTCTCTCCATCTATTCTGACTGCTGCTTGTTGGTCTTGATAGAGCATTTTAATGAGCTGCACTATATGTGATGGAAAGCCCATATTCCTCATGATTTCCCAAAGCTTCTGATGTTGTACACAGTCAAATGCTTTTGAATAATCCACAAAACATAAGAACAGATTTTCATTAAATTCTCTACACTTCTCTATTATTAAACGCATGTTGAAAATATGATCTCTTGTTCCTCTTCCCTGTCTAAATCCAGCCTGAGCTACATTAATCTCTTCTTCCATTTTCTTATGCAGTCTTCTCATTATAATTTTTAGTAGAATTTTACTTGCATGACTGATCAGGGCAATAGTTCGATAGTTTGTACATAATTTCAGGTCACCCTTTTTTGGTATTGGAATGAAGATAGTTCTCTTCTAGTCTTTTGGCCAAATACCATGTTTCCATATCTTTTCACATAATGCATGATAGATTTTTATGCCTTCTTCTCCTCTCGCTTTAATCAATTCAGCTGGTATCTCATCACATCCAGGTGATTTACCATTTTTCAGGCTCCTTATTGCCCATGAAATTTCATCTAATGAAGGTTCAGGTTCTGCCTCTACTGTTACTGGTTCATGTATATCATTCATATCCTCACTGTCATTCATATCATACATTCCGCTGCAGTATTCCTGCCATCTTCCTAGAATTTGTCTAGATTCTGTTAAAGTATTTCCCAACCTGTCACAAATAACATTTAACTGAGGTTGAAAATTTCGTGTCAATAACTTCATTTCCTTGAACATTTCGTAATCTCTTCCATTTTTATGATGCTGCTCTATTTTAATACAGCAATCTTGTACATACTGATTTTTATCCTTTCTTGTGTACTTTCTTATTTCTCGTGTTAAAAATTTATACTTCATCCTACTGTCATTGGTTTCTCCTTTCTTTTTCAGTTCCCTCCGTTGTTTTATTAGTTCTAACGTGTATGGTGTGATCCATGGTTTATGTTGCTTAGTCCTGGTGGGTATTAAGTCTTTAGCTGCTGTTATCAAGATATCCCTAGCTTGTACCGCCAGTTCATCAGGTGTCATTTCCTCTTGTACAGACATCAAGACCTCAAAACGGTTCTTCACTTCTACGTTGTATGCATCTGGTATTTTTGTGAGATCAAATCGAAATGGCCTTGGTCCTCGGGTAAGCTTTTTGAGTTTTAATTTCAGATCTGCTTCTAGTAACTGATGATCTGTATCGCAATCTGCACTTCGCAGGGTTTTTGCAGATGTTATGCTCGATCTCCATCTTCTTTGTATTAAAATGTAATCTATCTGATTTTTGGTAACACCGTCAGGGGATGTCCATGTGAAAAGCCTTCTAGGGTGTTGTTTATAAAGTGTGTCAGCTATTGTTTATTCATTTTCTATGCAAAATTCAATCAATTTTTCTCCTGTTTCATTTCTATTACCCAATCCAAATTTTCCTAAAACGTGTCTCTCATTTTCAGCTCTGCCTGTACCTACTAAAATCTCCCATTATTATTATTATATCATTCTGATTAATTTTATTTAATGTGTCTTGCAGTATGGCATAAAAATCTTCAATTTCGCCCTCCTCTGCTGTTGAAGTTGGTGCATATACCTGCATGAAAGTTATGTTTTTTGGACGGCCTTTAAGTCTGATAGTTAGGATTCTATCACTAACTGGATTATATCCCATAATAGCTTTTGCTGTTGTTTTATCTAAACAAAATGCCACTCCGCTCTGGCCTCTTACATCTCTACCAGAATATACGAAAAAGCTTCCATATTCATTGATAAAATGTCCCTTGCCACTCCAACGATGTTCACAAATTCCTAAGATCTGAATATTTAATCTTTCAATCTCATCACATACTACTTTAAGCTTTCCTTCATACAGACTTCTCACATTCCACGTTCCTATTCGCATTCTGTTTCTTAGTCTGACACAGTGGATTTCCTTGGTAACACAGTCAGGATTAACTCCGTCATCACGATTACTAGTACTGACCCCTGTATCACACTCTTCCCCAGTGTTATCTGATCTGCCTGGCCTGGGGGTCTCGCCACCAGATCTCTTCTGTGTTATGTTTTCTTTCATGATTGTTATGGATTCTTGGCAAAATTTGCAGAAGGTAGTTTGCCGTTGCTTTCCTCCTGGGCAGTGACTATACTAGTCGGTGGCCATAGCCATTGTCTCTACTGATGAGATCATTTGCCTATCGCCGCAGAGTGCAGACCATAACCAACAATACCTGTCGGCTGCTCTTACACTCCATCCACCACCTGCTTCCATGGCTTCACGTAACCCTGATTGGGGGGCTAAACGGGTACTCCACCGTGCCCAAGGGTGTCACGTAGACTAGCGGAGGAAAGGAGGCGTCTTACTTCTCATTTGATAGGGGATACCCCTACCCCGCTAACCAAATAATCACATGCGACTGAAAAAAAAGTGCTTATGTTACTAACAATTTCTCTAACATATTTTTTTTTTTTATGCACAGATGAAATCATACTGAAGCCGGTTTTAGCCAGAATTACTGTCATAGAAGAGGCCTTGTGTTCCTTCCGGAGCAATTCTGAAAAAGTTGCTGAACAACAAATTGATATAGATCAACAACTGAAGGAATTATTGTCCAAACTTTCAGAGTTAGAAAAGAAGAACAACTCAAAGTTCAGAAAATTCAAAGAACAAATCAGGGAAATAAGCAACACACAAGGTGCATTCGACCAAGAACAGGAGACAAGATTACAAAGTCTGGAGAAACAGCTGCAGAAGTTAACTAAGCAGCAAGACAGAGTGAAAGAAGAGATGGAATCTCAGACAGAACTGACAGAGAAACTTGTTCACTTACCTGATCAGCTGGAGTCTGTGAAAGAAAAGCTCGATGTATTCGATGCTAGAATTGGTAGAATCATGGATGACTGCAGCAACAAGCATCAGGATATAGAACATGTTACACGTGACCTGGCAGACAAGGTCATGGCTAACACAGAATGTCTCCAGGTCATATCTGTAGATGAAGATCAGAAAACGACCTTGTTGAGAGAACTGGAGACAAGAATGCAGACATTGGAAGAAGACAGTGGGAGACGTGTAAAAGATTTCCAGGAAAAGGTTGATAAAGAGGAGACAAAGGTGAGTATAAATTCGTCAACAGAGAAATTGTTTTACGCATTATTACTATTAACTCTGGCTATGAAACTTCACATGTAACAGTGTGTTTGATGTGTCTTCTTCTTCTTCTTCTTCTTCTTCTTCTTCTTCTTCTTCTTCTTCTTCTTCTTCTTCTTCTTCTTCTTCTTCTTCTTCTTCTTCTTCTTCTTCTTCTTCTTCTTCTTCTTCTTCTTCTTCTTCTTCTTCTTCTTCTTCTTCTTCTTCTTCTTCTTCTTCTTCTTCTTCTTCTTCTTCTTCTTCTTCTTCTTCTTCTTCTTCTTCTTCTTCTTCTTCTTCTTCTTCTTCTTCTTCTTCTTCTTCTTCTTGTTTTTTCTCCTTCCTTGTCTTTTAGCCACCCATCATGCTATAGCTACACACGTATTACTAGCGTACAGTTGAACCTCTCCAGTCAATGCTGTTCCAAAACTTCTTTGTTTCATCTCTTTCCCTGACCACGTCTGACAGTACAACTCTCTGTTAGCTTAGCAGTTTTGAAGTTTAATATTTAGTGAAAACGACACAGGTTTTGCATTACATTAGATATAGTAATTAAACTAGAAATTTAAAGAATCAAGTCAAGCAAGCATGACCAAATCTGCAAGAGCAAACAAAGTGACTAGCTTGTGCACAGAGATGAGTGCCGTCATCAAGAAAGGGACTAGCTGGTGTACAGAGATAAGTGCCGTCATCAAGAAAGTGACTAGCTGGTGTACAGAGATGAGTGTCGTCATTAACAAAGTGACTAGCTGGTGTACAGAGATGAGTGCTGTCATCAACAAAGTGACTAGCTGGTGTACAGAGATGAGTGCTGTCATCAACAAAGTGACTAGCTGGTGTACAGAGATGAGTGCTGTCATCAACAAAGTGACTAGCTGGTGTACAGAGATGAGTGCTGTCATCAAAAAAGTGACTAGCTGGTGTACAGAGATGAGTGCTGTCATCAACCAACCAAAGGCGCCAGTTTCAGAGATGTTTTATGTAATTAAAGTTTTGATGTCAATTTTCAGTTGCAGATCCTGTGTCAGATGTTAAACGATCGACTGACTCCACTAGAACAACTCAGAACTTGTCTCAATGAAAGGACCAGCACGAGAGATGAGAATATTAAACAGGTTCATTTTTAAAGTCACGAAATTTTCACGTTTATTTAAAGTGATTCTGTGGGAATGGAAACAGTTGGAAGAAAAAAAATGTATGACCACCTTACAAAAATCCAGTTCACCAACACCCAGTTCTATGTTTGCGTTCCGGGGCCTCGATGTGGGCCTGGGGGCGGGCGTAATTACGGATGTAGGGAGGGGTAGGGTGGTTGTTAATAGATCTACTACCCCCTATAAGCATATTGTAAAAGTCGACCACACAAAAAAGGGATATTTTCTTCAATGTCGTAGGGAATATGCCTTGGAGGCAGGAACCGAAAGTCTCCATTTAAATAAACTGGTCTGTAAAATTGATGTGCATGCAAAACTCCAGTTCTGACACAAGGCCAAAGCCAACACATTTACAAACAACCACAATTGTCGTTCTTAGTTTGCTGGCGGTGAACGCGAAGAAGAATTTCAAGACAAAATATAATTTATTGTAGCAACAAGCCTTTATCTTGTTAATACAAACTCATACAATTCAGTTACAAAATGAATTTAATATTTATCACAATCTCCTTTGTTTCTGTGCAGACTTATTTTTTATTTTTAATCATACTTGTATATTTAGTTTTCTTCAATTTCGCATACTTTATATATCTATAACTGCCCTTTGGCTGTCTTAGCTGTCTGCATTTGTACATTTGCTGTAGTGTTTTGTGACTTCAAATGTAATCCGAAATCTTCTTTTGACGAGATTATAACCGATCTGTTTTCCTGATGTTTTGTTAGTACACTTTCAGAGCTTGAATATTGATGATTCCAGTCTACCCAACGATCATACCATGATTTGTATCCACTCTACAAGTCTCCTATCCCATGTCTTGAATTTTGCTGATACCAAGTGTGTACAACTTGGCTCACGTATAAACAACTTTTTTTAAAGTTAGCATCCCCAAAGGGGGAGCTTTAGGTTATAAGTGTGACTATGTTATTGCGCCATTGATAATGGCTAAGCAATATTCTACTCTTGCAGTGTTGATACGATCAAGGGAGACAGACCCAAATACTGTCCCGATAATTGGCTACCCGTTCGATGATGAAATGTGTCATGACACTCTCCTATCCCATGACTACATACAGCCTTGTTGGTCCATCACGAGTGGTTGAGACCACTTCTCATCCAAAGTAGTAATGATCATTGATTGTGAGTACGAAAGTGGCTGATTACTCCAATATGATCCTGGGAAGTTCTAAAGCAGTGTGGACAACAGATGGAAACCGGAGTAAGTGTGAGATCAGCAGTGCGATTCTTTCTAGTCTGCCTCCGTTTCTCTGCCTGTGCAACCTTCGCTGCCTGGCAGGGCGATGCATCATGCCTGAGGGATGTACACCATCTAGAACGGTCTTGTGCAGCAGTCTCCCACGTAGCTGTATTGATGCCAGTACAACTGAGAACATTCTTGAAAGTGTCTTTATGGCACCTTTTCTATCCTCCCTGGTACCTCTTGTCTTGCAGGAGCTCGCCATAAAATACTTTATTTGGGAGGCGATAGTCTGGCATGCGTGTCAGATGACCAGCCCAACACAGCTGATAATTCTTCAGTATCGTGCGGATGCTAGGCAGATTTGCCCTATCAAGAACCACAGCACCTGGGATCCTATCTTGCCATCTGATTTTGAGCAGCTTTCTGACACAAGTTATATGAAACTGATTCAACTTTTTAGCACCTCCACGTTTCTCATGTGTAGAGTAGAACTGGAAGGATGCCAGCTTTGTAAATCTTTAGCTAGGTGAGCAGGGAGATGCCACTTTCGTCATAGACGCTGGTATAAGTCTGCTAAAACCTACAGTATTACCATCATCAAACGTTACTATAATGCATATCTGAATCGTCACTGATTTCTGCTGGCGTGGGAAAGCCCGACTGACGTAGACATCAAAAGACCTGCCATTTAACTTTTGTAAAATTCTGACACCGACGAATATTCTGAAATAGATTTTATTTTTGCTGATCCACAAAACAGTCTTTTGTCGTTTTTTCTCTCTCTCTCTCTTTCTCTCTCTCTCTCTCTCTCTCTCTCTCTCTCTCTCGCTCACACACACACATACACACATACACACATACACACACGCACACACACAGATTATGTTATCGTTGTCAGATGTAGCCGTTAGGGAATGTATCTGTGCTCTTCAACGAGATATTTATTTCTAGTCTGATATTCTCTTCCCATCGATTTTCATCGTTCCAGTATTGTACATTCCGGTTGAAGTCGCTGTAAATATTGTATTGCATGCTGGTGGTCTAAGGTTACCAACTCTCCCTCTTTCTTTTCAACGACTGCTGCTTGTGCGCGTACATGGTAGCATGGTGGATTGAAAAAAAAAATAATAAAAAATAAAAGCAGAAGGTATGGTACCATGAGGAGGGGCAGGGACCGACCATCCCAAAGATGGGAACAGGATATAAGTGACTCATTGGATATGAAAGTGTGCGAGATGAAAGAGCTGGCGAGAGACAAAGTTTCTATCAGGCAGACAATGATGAGAGCGACGTTCTGTGGAGGATCTGCTACATGATGATGATGATGATGAGATGGAATAGAATCTCTGGAACTTATTATATTATAATGCATTACATTTATATTATTTTGTAGGTGTTATATTATACTACATTGCATTACATTATCTTATAGTATATATACAAAGAATCTTGCATGAGAGGTTAGAATGTTCAAACATAGTTTTATCTATTGACTTGCATAAATAGTTTTCCATTTGCGTGTATTTCAAACTTTGGCATTTTTTTTTTCTTTTTGGTAAGGACCAGAATTTATGTTCTCTTACAAATGGGCTTTTTATGAAATAACGTAATATAATATAATATAATATAATATAATATAATATAATATAATATAATATAATGTGATTAATGTAATGCAACGCATTGTAATGTAATGAAATATAATATAATACAAAACAACATAATATAATATAATATAAAATAATATAATATAATACAATATAACATAATATAATATAATATAATATAATATAATATAATATAATATAATATAATATAATATAATATAATATAATATAATATAATATAATATAATATAATATAATATAATATAATATAATATTTCTGTTTTTCTTTCAGCTGACCCAGGTAATCCAGGAGGTAGCAGTTATATCCCCGAGATTACAACAATTAGGTAACTCTTGCATTTTCTACACTTTATACAATGAACGGTTTAGGTTTATTCAACGGATCAAAATCACGACACAAGGGTAGTAACCCATAAGTGATCCATTCTACTTCTAACTAAAGTTCGAGTCCAAAGACTTGCAGCGCAGTGCACGAGCTCCGTAGCACCAGCAGGGATCCCGAAATACTTTGGGTGGACTTCTAACTACAAATTTTGCCCGGGCAACGCCGTTAGGCTACGCATTTTGATTTCCAACTGCCAAGAGATTTATTACGTGTGGAACAATACACACGGCTATCTGATCTTACTACCCAGATACCAGGGGGCAACTGCTGATCTGTTGGCGACTTCTGCTACAATCCATGATAAACTGCATTTCTGATGTCGGACTGTTTGTGTCAGCACTTCTGATGGCTACCGCATGCTTTTAATGCGAGTGTATGCTAGTGCAAATGCTGAGACAGCAGTCTGTCAATCTTTCCACAAGGGACTGTGATAGAAATTATATGTGTGTTTTTCGTTAGCACAGGAGCGGAGCAACTATGGGGAGATCCGTTTGCTTTGACGCTGAAACTAAGATTACCAGATTACTAGAAGTCCGCTGGGAAATTCCCAGCCTTCCCCAAGGCTGACGTCACCCCTCCCGACCATGCAGCAATCTTCCCCCTCCCCACTGTTGTTGATAAAGATTGGAATCACATTACTCCTGCTACCTCCGCCACCACTGGTTTCATCATCGTAAAGTACCTTGCTGCCTGGCAACGGTGATCATGCGTCTCTATAATCTGCGACCTTCAGCAGGCTGTATCTGTTTATATGTTGATACCCCTACATGACCTGACAAAGGGTGACAAGAATCGTCTCGCGTTGTCTTTCTCTGTCTCTTTCTCTACTATTATTACTAATACCACATTTCAACGTCTGTTTTTATTGTTCAAGTGTGGGGTCTGAAGAAAACATTGGTTATCGTAACAGTCCTATCATCTTCTTCTGAACTTATCAAAGAGCTGATGTTGATATTATATGCAATTTACAATCTACGCATATCCCTATGTGGGTTCCGAGGCCCTATTATAGGGTTAACAAGAATAGGCCCACTGCCTACTCAAAAGCATGTCGTAAGAGTCGACTAATTGGGAGCTTCCTTCAAAGTCCGAGAGCATCTGCCTGAGAGGCAAGCAACCAAAAGTCTGCACACAAATTAGTCAGATCTGCTAAACGGATGCACACGCAACACATAGGTTCTGGAATAGGAATTTCCACCAGAGTTAACAGCTGGTGAACGCAAAGAAGAAGAAGAATCTACGCATATATCCGACCTTTTGGTAATGCTAAGAAAATTTTGAAACTGTTATAACAGCTAGATTTAAAACTTTAAAAGTGACAATATTGTTTAAGGTTGTCAGCACTTTTTCTTCTTCTTTTCTCTACTCCTGGAATGTCTCGCGGTGTCAGGATAATACGAGATCTCTAGAACGGTCCCTTCTGTTCGCTTCCAATATAGTACATTATAGTGTCTCCGATATTTCTGGGGTCCATCTCTGTGTGGTCTACCTCTGGTTTTGTTACTGCTGTGTCTGTAAACCACTGCTCTATGTGGAGCCATGTCTGACGCCAGTCTTGTTACGTGACCAAACCATTTGGTTTTGTTTTGTCTGCCTATAAAGTCCAGTACTGGTTCTGTGTCAACTCTTCTTCTTCTTCTTCTGCGTTCGACATCAGTCATGCTAGACATTGAGTCCTCCTGATATCCTGATATATAGTATGGTAAGTAAACATGTAATTTCTGTCGTGACTATTGTGTGTGTGTGTATGTGGGTGTATTCTGAAGAGAGCGTCCAAGCTTAACATTGACAGAGTAGCGTTGGTTAGAATATTATATTTAACAGTGTTCTTTTACTGTTCACATTAACATGCTTGAATTTCCAAATTGGTGCCATTTGGCCTAAAACTTGATTGGCGTCGTTGCATCTTTGCTGAATTTCCTTATTTATGCTTCTGTCTTCTGAAAAAATGCTCTCCAGGTATGTAAAATTCTTCTGTTTTGTCTATGCTGATCTTCGTATCATAGTTGTCGCATTCTGAGTAAAGTCTATTAAAATGTTCTTGTATTTGTACTGCTGTTGGTGCGATGATTGCCTGGTCATCGGTGAAAAGTAATTCATTTAATCATTCTTTGACGTTGTCCCCTTCGCTTGCTCTTAATTTTCTACAAGCACTAAAGTAATCCACAGTCGGATTTCTGAAATAGTCACAGTGTTTTCAAACTTCCTAGAGGGTCACACTTGTACTAGACTATCACATTCAGACTAGTTGAACACAACTTCCACTCTTGGAAATCCGAAACTGACCCCGGTTAGATGCTGGCTGAGATGTAAATATCCCCTCACCATCTTCACGGAAAGACAGCAATGCATGTGGGGAGGGGGGGGGGAGGGGGCGGGGGAGGTTTCATTACCTGATAAATCCTGACGAAGATCGTGAAATGTTCAGAATCATGATTGCCCATGTCCCTTGGCAAAATACTTGATATATATATATATATATATATATATATATATATATATATATATATATATATATATATATATATATATATATATATATATATATATATGTGTGTGTGTGTGTGTGTGTGTGTGTGTGTGTGTGTGTGTTAATAATAAAGATGAAAACTAGGAGATAACTCTTGTTAGTCCTTTCACAGAACTGAAATCTTCCAGAACTAGATGTGGGTTTACTGCTGAGATACGGCTGTCAGAACAAGTTACGGGATACACATTAAGACCCTACAAGAAACCGTACTCAAATGTTGGCGGGAACTTTAATGCAGACAGCGGGATATTCACAGCTCCAGTTGATGGACTCTATGTTGCAACTATTTCAATATATCATTTTGAGAACAAGAAACTGGAAGTTGGTGTCAGGTGCAACAAGCAAGGTTTAGATCAGAAGTCAGCTAGTCTGGTGTGTGTGAGTTCCACTGAAGTAAAAGGCATAACCGCTTGTAATATGGGAGTTGTTGAAATGAAAGCTGGTGACATGTTGTTTTCTTATGTGTATCGAAACAACACGACTGATAATGAGAAATACGTTTACTTGTCATGTTTTCTGCTGGCATGAGCTGAATGTGATGACCTTGTAGATTTCAGAATAGTCTGCCTATTTGAAAGGGAAACAAAAGAAATAAATGAGTGCCGACCATTTCAGTGATTTGATGTATAATGTGGAAAAATTGTCTGCAACACATTCAATGCCTACAAGATTGGGCGGTTACTGTTGACTATCTCAAATCTAAACCACATACTTTTTTATTTTTTAATATTTATGTGAGTATGTGTGATAGTGTATGTGTGTATGTGTAATTGTGGATATGTGTATATATAATGTATGCAAGTATGAATGTATGCATGTATGCATGTGTGTATGTAATATCTGTATGGGTGATTGTATATGTGTGTATGCATGCATGTGTGTGTATGTATGTGTGTAATGTGTGTGATCATGTATGTATGCATGCATGTATATATCTATGTGTGTATTGATGTATGTTGATGGATGTATGTATGCATATTTAGCTGTGTAAGTATGTGTTTGTATTTAGGTATGTATGTATGTGTGTAAAGATGTGAGTGTATGTCTAAATGTATGTGTGTATACATGTATGTGTATGTATGTATGTATGCATGTATGTGGGTGTATGTAATAATGTGATTGTAAATGTGTGGTTGTGGGCATATGCTGGTGTATGTACATGTGATTGTATATGTGTGTTTGCATGTATAGGTGTGTTTGAATGGAATGTGTGTGTGTGCACGTATATCCATAAATGTCTGTGTGTGTGTTTTCTGTTTGTGTATTTATGTCTATATGTGTATGTGTTTTATGTTTGTGTATGTATGTAGATTATGTGTGTGTGTATGTATTACGTATGTCTGTATATGAGCGTGCATGTATGAAAACGCAGGAGTATGTATACGTGTGTGTGAGTGTGTATGATTGTGTACACATAATGTGTGTATGCATTATTCTAAAATTTATATTTATTTATTATATCCATAAAATGCATTATTGGTAACAAAAATTGGTACTCTGAAAAATGAGTGCTCAGAAGGGCCGAATGTCAGACGGGCCAGCGTGCGCAATTTGTAACCCTTTGAAAATAAAGTTTGTTCGCTCGTTCGTTCGTTCGTTCGTTCACGTATGTAAGTGAATCTAAACACTTTCGTAATGTCATGCTTTTTACGGACATTCTTATTTTTCTTCTACTTTCTTTCACTTAAAAAAAAAATTATTTATATATGAAATATTGTCGCTAGTTTGAACTTCACTGTCTTTTCTGATTCACTCAGCGACCCGTAAAGTTTGACTTGCACCGATGTTTCTCTTGGCTTAAAGTTTGGCAGCAACTCTTATCTCACAGTACCTTCTGCAAATCACCAAGTCGTCTTATCCCTATCCGAAAGAAAAACACCATCCGGTAATTTCGTGCAGCAGGGTGCCAGCCCTGAGCTTCATGAACTCAGGTGGGCCCACCTCCGAAAGTGTCTAGGAGAAATCGTGGGCCGAAACGTTTTTCGACGAGGATAACTTCTACTGATGACTGGTAGATCCCTGCTGTACTTGCTCCCTGTGAGTTTATTCCTATTGGCCTTGATATGTTGTATTTGGGACAGTCTTAGAGGACATGATCTGTTGTCGCAGATGCGAATCCACATGTACACTTGGCTGATTCGCCGATTTTAAATTGTGTACATGTGGCTGCCAAGTCGATTGTGTTATACGGGGATGATCGGATCTGTTGTGGATCTAATCATTTCTATAATGTCGTGATCTATACTTGGAATTCTTCTTCGCTCTTTTATGTCCCACTACAGAATAGTCTGTCAACCGTCTGAAGACTAACTCTTTTGCACCCCAAAAACCTTACAAATAGCCATCACATTGTCGTGTTAAAAACACGTCGTTACGTTTCAATTTACTTAAACGCTTCCCAAAAAGGGAGA